CCCCGCCCCCCCCGGGGGGGGACCCGGCGGGCGGGGACGCCCTGAAGGGCAGCAGGCAACCCCCGTTGGGGATGGTGGGGTTGTAGTTCCGGCCCAGCGGGAGGGTCTGTGCGCGGGAGGCGGAGCCGGGGAAGCCCCGGTTCAACCAGGGCTGCCCTAGAGACGCCTTTGGGGAGAGCCCCGGGGGACCCCGCGGCCTCCCACCCCGCCGGGCCCACCCGGCCTGCCGCCTCCTTTATCCGGGGAGACGCGCGGGGCCCGGCGGGGGCCGCTGCGCTGCTTCTGCCCGGAGGCTTTCCCTGCGGCTTGGTTGGGGGGGCAGAAAGGGGGAGGGACCCGCTCTGTTCATTCTCAGGCAACGTTTCGTAACCCTTACAGTGACCAGGTGAAGTGGGTGGAGCCGGCTGGCAGGTGCCCTCAGCCAGGATGATGGAATGGACTGCGCTGCCTCATCTCTTCCTCAGACGCCAGCAGGCCCTATAAGAGGAGAGCGCGGGGCTGCTTCCACTGACACGTAACAGCGAGGACAGTTGCACGACTGCTGAGCATTGTGTCCTTGCTAAACTGTTTCAGGTAAAGAAGAAACAGGTGTCTTCCCTTCTGACTTCGCCTCTGTTTTTTGCCCCAACTGCCTCCTTGCTAACTGCAGCCATAGGAAGAGTAAAAATGGAGGTTTATTGGAGGGACCTACCTCCCAAGTCTGTCCCAACACTCTAATATTAAACCTGCCGAATAATGTTAGGTTAGATAGACAATGATCTAGCTTGGAATAAGGCAGCTTAATCGAATTTAAGGGACTGGCCTAACCATCATTGGTTAGTAGGGATGTGCATGAAATGGAAAATGTAGTTCAACTGGGTGGATTGTGGCATGGTCACATCAGATCTCGAATATTTTGGTGGTTCTGGCTTATGGCCAAGACAAAGTCTGGATGAGAATGGTAATAATAATATAATTTATTAAACGTGTACGCTGCCCAACTCTCGATGACTCTGGGCAGTTCACAACAATCAAACAAAGAAATTACAATAAAAAATAAAGATAAAAAATGGCAAGTGCAACGAAGTGAGGGGTCTCCCTCTCCTTGCCGAAGGTCTGGGTGGGGAATAGGGCCAGGCTGATGCAGTTCGCCGCTTCTTCCTACCTTCTTCCTGCATGACCTGGGTGCCGGCTTGCCCACTGCTCCTTCGGCACTGCTGCTAGTGATGGCCTTTCCTTTTCTTTGCTGTTTCCCGCCCTGGAACACCTCTGCCCAGGCAAGCTTATTTTGGTCTATGCCTGGACCACCCATGCGGGTTTTGCTTTTGGCACAGACCCCAAACTGTATGTTTTGTATGTGTGGAACATTTTGCACATCACAATTGATTAGAAGAGAAGAGAATACTTTATTGGCCAAGTATGATTAGACATACAAGGAATTTGACTTCGGTGCAAAGAGGTCTCAGTGTATTTGCATAGCATCAGGAAATAAAGAATAATAAAAAGTAATAATGTTACACTAAAACTATGCAGTCAGAAGAGGAGAATTGGAGGAAGAATAATACTGCAGCTATTGACTAACATATATTCATTTTTAAAAGGAGAAGCTATTATCTAGCATATATTCCCATTTAACAGCATTATCAATCATGTCTGAGCAGTCATATGTTATGCAATGCATTAATTAGGTGTTCAGCAGAGCAATGGCATGAGGGAAAAAACTTAGATTAGAAAGAAAAATTAACTTGTCTTATCTTTGTGGTCTCTTTCCATGGAGTATAGGCAGAAGGATGGCTGGGATTGGCCTAGCATGGGGAGGGTGAGGGTTATTCCTTGAAAATGTTGAAAGTGATCCCTGCAGGGACTGACTATGGATGATCAGCATATGTTATACACCTATTACGGATTTGCAGCCCCAAGTCTTTTCACAAGCAAGCTTAGGGAAAAAAAGGATTGTGACCCAATTAAGATGTTACACTTCCAGTAATCAAGTAGGTATGTATTGGTGAATGTAGACAAAATAATGTGAGGAGGAGCTTGATAATCTTTAATTTGCCTCTTGTCAGGTTCAGCCCAAGAACCACAGCGAGACAAATCCAGGAACAGTTCAGTTACTTTATTAGCTTACACCTTTTAGACAGAATCTCGCCAGCAACTGTCTAACAGGTATAAGCTAATGTAAAACTGAATAACCCCCAAGAAGAGCAACTATAACCCTGAACCCCTTAGGGAGGGGTCAGTCTCCTTCTCTTCACTTCCACACGTTCTGGCTGGGGGCTGAGGAGATGCTTGGAATGCCTCTCCCCCTCCCTGTAACCTTGAAGCTCCATTCCAGGATCCTCCTCACTCATACCTTCCATCACATCTCTCCACCAGCAAGTTGTTTTTTTTTAACTAAATGGTGAAATAAAAAAAACTACAGCACCAACAGGGAAAAAAATACTGATTATACTGTGAAAAGGAGAACTTGGACATTATAGTGATTAAACTAATCTAAATGTGATAAAAAAGAAAACTAAGTAACCGAAAGAGAGAGAGAAAAAGTCTGTATAATAACTATAAATTCTCCACTCAGCAACCTAATAAATCTTATAATTTGCTTAAGAGTTTGCAGGATTAAATTGCACCATCTCACCTGCAAATAAGGCCTTAGAGATATTGTACAATCATCTGCATTTTTTTTCTTGGCATTTATGTGATTGTATATTAAAAGGGCACATCTGTGTGAAGAATAGAAAGGCCCTTGAATTGTGAGAGAAGATTTAAAGACTGTGAGTGTAAGAAATCATACTGAGGGTGCCAGATGTCCTTTGAGGCTTCAGGTGATTTATGGATGTGAAACTTTGAGGTAAAATCTGTGATAATCATTTCAGGCTAAACACATGGCTTTTGGAATAGAACACTTTGCAAGCCAAAATAAGTGATACGTACTAAGTGGCCTTCTCTCTTTCTATAAAGAGCTCCAGGATCGCAACATGGAGCCCCGGCAGCCAGTACCTTTGCTACCGGAGCAGAATTTTGACCGAGACGTCAAGCAAAACATGGCCGAACTTTCTCTGTGGACAGTGGTCGCTGCAATCCAGGCTGTGGAGAGGAAAGTGGATTCCCACGCCACAAGGCTGCTGAACCTGGAGCGGCGAATGATGACCAATGAGAAAAAGTATGTGGACTGTGAGAATGCAGTAGTAGACTTTGGCAATCAGATGGAGTGCAAGTTGACTGCTTTGGGGACCCTGATCCAGGAGTACGGGCTGCTGCAGAGGCGGCTGGAGAACATGGAGAACCTCTTGAAGAACCAGAACTTCTGGATCCTAAGACTCCCTCCGGGCTCCAAGGGAGAAACACCCAAGGTCAGATGATTAGGACGTGTCCTCCTTGATTTTTTTCCGGTACCTGCAAAGATGGGAGAGCTCCTTAACTTGGAAAGTGGGATAGTAATTAAGGAGAGTCTTGAGATCATCTGGCCAGGCAACCTTGAAAGAATTAATTCATGGCTTCAGACTTAAATGTACGCTGGGGGAGGAGTAGGCCAGATTCTTGTACTCTGGTTAAGATGGGAACATTAGGGGCAATAGGGAAGGTGGAATGCTCACTGGAGAGGGACTTAGTAGTGCGCTCTCTGCCCCACATTAGAGAGAAGGTAAAAAGGTCAGCTGCACATGCTTCCAGCTTTGTTTCTTAGATGTTGCAGGAGAACTGTTCCAGCCCACTCTTTGAAGGCCTGACGGATCAGGCTTTGGAGGATTGGGGATCAGCTTTTGGTCTTCATGGGGGGGTGGGTTAGTTCTCAGTATTAAAAGCATGGAAGCAATACATTGATGCTCCTTACAACCTGCTGTCTTATAGAGACCAGAGCCTCTTACAAATGTTGCCTGAATAATGCCAAACAAATGTGCAGTCGTGGGTCATTTAGTTAAATCTTCCTATAGAAGAGAAAATATGTAGCTGAGGGTTGAACTGTGGAGCCCTTGGTGCTCTCTGAGCTTGGTTGTTTCCTTGCAGATGTTTCATTACCCAATTAGTGCAAGTGAATGAGGGATTTATTTCCTGTTTATATGCAGTAGCTTGCCCTGCCAGTTTTGGTGGCACATGTAGTTAAGTGTGAATGGAAAGCCAGTTTTTTAGGTATCTGTCTTGAGCAGAACGTGACCAGCTGGTGATGAGCAGGGTCCTTTCATGGAACCACTGGTTGGACCAAAAGACCTAAGTGGCCCCTTTCAGTTTTAGGATTCTGATGCAGATCAGCCATAAAACATTGCCTGGGCTGGTGTGTGCATCATGCTAAGCCGGGCTTATGTTAAACATGGTTTGTTGAGTAAACCATAATTGGCTGGGTTAACACAAAATGCCAAACTATAAACCAGGGTGTATCAGTTGTAATGGCTGAACTCGCCCATCATGTTAAGCCCAAACCTGGAAGAACATTAGGGGTTTTACACGTGACATGTAAAAGCAGCCATTCCATTCTTGTTCCACTTGAGCTCCCGGTTCTGGTCCTTTCAAAATCATTCTTAGCTTCACATGTGACCAGCTATTGAAGCCACAGGGGACACCTTCTTGCCCTCAGCAGTGTTGCAAAATATTGTACAAGTATCACATACCGACAGCGATATTAGTGATCGTTCGCAGAATGGTTTTCTTGGTCTCGATTGGAAAGAGGTGCTTCACGCAGAGGATGCAAACGCAGCTCCTGCCTATGACTTGTCAAAGCAGCCGTGTGACCCCAGAAATAGACACAGTTGCTTTTGTCAGTTGCAGTCAAAGGCAGCATTTGTGGTCCTGTGTGTCCAAAGCCCCATTCAGTCCTAGTGCTTGTCATTTTCGCATTTATAAAGTATATTGACTTGCTTGCCTCCTCCAATGGTTCCTCCCGTGTGTCACCTCCACCCGCTCATATTCAGTGGGAGCACCTCTGTTCCCTTTGGCTTCTGCCCGATCCGACAAGCTGTGTTCAAGACCTTGGCTGGTTCGGCATGTTCTCTCATCCCATTGCACATAGTGGATATTGGATTTTGAGCTGAGGTTTGCTCAAGCTGAAAATTTATAGGATTTTGCTTGACAAAGCTTGTGAAGGTCATTGTTAATACCAGTTAGGAGCACACAAATGGCTGATTAACTTGTGCATTCAACGAGTACGAGATCCCTGTCCCATCAGTTTGACAGCACTTCTCAAACATGCACCTCCCCTCCTTTTAGCTGGGGTTGAGGAGAAATGCATAGCCTGTCCCTGCTGGTTTTGGAGCGAAAGGTAATCCAGCTGAGCGCCAACGGCTCCTCCTAGAAGATCCAAACCTGTAACTCTTGTGCTTCCAGGTGCCCATGACCTTTGAGGACAATGCGGTTTACTTTTCCGAGCAGGAGTGGGGGAACCTGGAGGAGTGGCAGAAGGAGCTCTACAAGAATGTGATGAAGAGTAACTATGAGTCGCTGGTCTCTCTGGGTAAAAATAAGGTTTTGCTCCTTTGTTAAAGCTCGTAGGCTGGAAATGTGTATCTAGGAATCTTTGATCTGCATCTAGGTGACTGCCTGCCCCCGTGACCCCTAGAACCCTACAGCACCTCCTCACGAGACCACGTGCAGAACAATGCAGGGCAGGCTGGCTGTCTATTCCTGTCCATCCAGTACTCCTGTTTGCTCTCATTTTCTTTTGAAGTCCCATCCTGGGTTGTTCTCATTTAGGCAAAAGGCTGGACATGGTGGGTTGGAATGCTCTTTGACTCTTAAAGGTTTGGAAAGAATCATAAATCAAGAGGGCCTGCTGGGGGAACCGAGCTTAACATTAAGTTTTACAGGTGAGGGGTGGGCCATGTGGTTATCTGGCAAAAATCATTTTGTTATATAATTCTCAGCATTTCAGCTCATGGATTCCTAAGATGGTAGGGAGTGAGGAATGTAGGGGACCAGTGTGCCTGAACATTGCTCTCGATTCATACCTGATTTTCTTGTAGGTTTAGATTCTTTTTTTTAATGAGGTGGGATGCTGCAAAATGCCAGCTCCATCTTTATTTTTAGGAACACCTCTGGGCCTAAAAGAGGGTTCATAAGAGACTTGGAAACTAAACATGGTAGATGGCTGAAGTATGATAAGGTTTTTTTGTTTGGATGTGTGCTTACCTGCCCAGAAAAAATACAAAGGGAAGTTGGAAGTGGAAGGGAGCATTCTGGGAGATTAGCAAAAGTGGTGGGGGATTAAGCCTTCCCTCTTGGCAGCCATTTGTGAGAATCCATTACATTCTGTCAAAGGACATCCAGCAGCCCCCAAAGCTTTCTGGATGTCTAGCTCTGTCAAAAACGATATGGAATAAAAGTGACAAGAAGAGTGGTGCCTATTCCAAGTCGGGTCAGCATAAAAAGCTTCAGCAACTTGTTGACCTCCAAGGATGTTGGGATTATCCCTTCCAGAATCCCTAACAGAAACGGTGACAAGACAGCGCTGGAAACAGTCCGCCAGTAAATAAGAGGGTTGGGAAGGTCCATCCATATTACTCTAGAAGAAACGCGGGCGGGACGTCACTGCACGGGATCCACCCAATTTCCGTTTCTTGTATTACCGGGGATGTGGCAAATCTCAGCAGGATGATTTGATGGGGTCCCTTCTCTGCAAAGATCAGGAGGGGCTTCACTGCTTAATAATGCCTGGTGAAAAGTCAGCTCTGCTGAATATATTTGCACATGATCCCAGTTGTAGTTTTTTGAAGATGTGTAACTGTTTCATCCCCGCATGGAAAAGCCTCCTTGGGCACCTGTGTTCTCAGAGTCATTCATTCTTTTTCCCAGTTATCTCTTTGTGTCTTTTGTTCCTGGATTTGGAATAGTCTCTCCTGCCTGGAGTTTTCTCCTGTTCCCAAACAGACCTGGTTTATGTTTAATTTACCTCCCTAATTCTCCTTCCCCACTTCCATTTCCAACAGAGTGAAGGTCAGATCTGTGTAAGCAGACTAGTAAGAGTAAATAGACGCTTTGTAGCAATAGCTGGATTCAGGGCATTTCTCTTTATACAAATAAGGCTTTTGTTGTGTAGTGCAGTAAACAGTTGAGAAGAATATTACCTTTCTCCAACAGACTACGCAATTGCTAAACCTGATCTTCTGTCCCGGATTGAACAAGGAGAACGTCCCTGTGAGGAGGAAGAGGAGGTATCTAAAGACAGAGAGATTTCTTCAGAACCTAGCCCAGGTAAGCAGAAAGGGGCTAGAAGACAGAGAGACGGTTTGGAGTTGTGTTGAAGGCATTGGACTGGATACCGGGAGGCTGTGAGTTCTAGGCCTCCCTTAGGCAGGAAAGCCGGCTGGGCGACCTTGGGCCAGCCCCTCTCTCTTAGCCCAACCCACTTCACAGGGTTGAAAATAGGAGACAGGATCATTGAGTTGTACAAAATAAAGATGGCATGTAAATCTACAAATAAATAAATGGTGTAGCTGAATCGGATGGATGGTCCCATCTTGCCATTCTTATCTGTCCTTTCCATTTAAAAACGCCTTCAGAAAGTTCCTGTCTCTTGAAAAGGTCTCCCGGTGGGGCTCTGAGACTTGTGCCTTGACAGGGGTGGGGGGTGGAATTGTGGATCCTGTAATGGCTCTTTTAACAAAATAGAATAAAAGAACGTCTTTAAGCTCATCCGAAATTTACAATCAAGTTAAAGTGCTGAATAAAGATTTGCTGGGCACCAAGTATCCGGTGAAAGCCTCTCTTTTATGTCATCCCAAACAGAAATACTGGTTTTTAGGCCCTGCCTTTCCTCCTCGGTTCAGGAAGAGGGAGAACATGTGCCAGTTGTCCGAGAAGGAGAGCGCAGTGAAGGAAGGAGGGTCCCACAGGCTCCCAGCATCGGTGAGTGGAAGATAACGGCAGTCTGAATATTTGGCACATTCTTCAGTGTTTGCAGCACTGATGATGCTTTGTGCCAACGGAAGGTCACTGAATGCAGGAAAGAATCTTTTTTGGCTTTCCTTCTTGTGTTGAGATGTTGCAGCTAAAATGTGCTGGAAAGTAACTGACAAGTGAGAAATAACTCAAGGAACAGGAATGGAAACAAAGCATGCTTTCGTTTTTAAAAAGCACTGAATGCAAAATGCGTTTTGGTATATATTAAACCTGTGTTTGAAATAGTTGCTTTGAGGCACAGATTCGGATTCTTGTTAACTGAGTCTGCCGAGGAAGAACACGCTTGCCTCTTGGCAGAACCACGTGTGTGGGCTGCTTGTTTTGCCAAGGCGCCTCTGAAGGTCCTTCAGAGAGCTGGATGCCCGGCCTGCTGCTCAGCAGAAAGGTCAAAACCCAACAGCAAATGCCACCTTGCTTCCTTTTTGTTGAACAGATGACGGAGTAGCTGAGATGCCCTTTGGCTCCCAAGGGAAGCAAGAACTGGAGGGGAACATGGAGGCCACGGACCTCTCGGAGAAAGGCGAGCTGCATCTCAAACCAAGCACGGGTAAGTTAAGTTATTTGCTGGGCGGACACTCCTGCTTTACAGGCTCCTAGGATGGGAACGGACAAGATCGCTCAACTCCTGCATGTCTTTTATTCAGCGACCCTTTCCGCAGATGTCCTTTATTTTTTGTTGCCAGGCTTGAATGGTGAGCTTGTTCCCAGGTTGCTAAATTGAAGCCTGTTTGTTGTTATTTGAACCCAGAAGAACCCCAAAAGCCTCGTTTGGTGACAGGACGGGACGGGTTGCACGCTCCTGAATACGGCCCTCCAGCTGCTGGGGCACAGCGCCTCCCGCCCACCGAGAAGACTGTCCGCTCTTGAGGGTGGTTTATTATGAATGCTTTGAGGCCTCGCTTTGGTTTTCCTCTTTCCAGCTTTGCAGACTCTCCTGCGAGGAGCTGCCATTCACTTGTCACCGCCAGCTTTGGTCTGCAGCAGCAGCAGCAGCAGCAGCTTTCCAGGCTGGCCGGCCGGCCGCTGCACTTCTGCTAAAAGTGGAAGGCAGCTGTGGCTTGTGCCAAGAGTAGTCGCCCTTTCTGCTGCTTTTCCGCACACAGATGAGCTCCCCCAGCCTGACCCCAGTCGCCCTTGATCTTCCTATAACACGAAACCCAGGAGGCGAGAAGCTCGTGACGTGGCTTTGGCCCGGTTGATGAACCCCACCGTTGCCTTCCCTTGGTTTGAGTCTGTCTTTCTGTGTGGTTTGTTTCTGGCTTTTCCCCATCTTGCGTGACTCCTTTTAAGAAGTTCAGGATGCAATGGAATCCTCTGCATACAGGCCAGATATCCTGGGCGTCCTGCGCCTCGCCTCCCACCTGGGAAAGGCGTTGTGAGGTTTAGCGCGCCTGCCCGAGGTGAGGCTGCCTTCCCAGCCCCCCAGTCACATGGCAGCTCTGCTTCTCAGCCTGGCCCCTCAGCCGCCCTGGAGGCTTTGGTGCGGGTGGCCAGCAGAAGCAAAGGGAGTGGACTTGCTTTCGTGTTGCGGCCAGAGCCCGATTACCTTTCCTCCCTCCCTCCCTCTCTCTCGCTCTCGGTAGGTTTGGGCACGGTTCCTTGTAGGCAGAGCAGTGCCCTTGGGGATGGAGGAAGGAACGGGTGCACGCATCTCCGCTCAGTGATGCATTCCAGGGAACGTGTCTCATGCTGCCAGAAAAGCCATGGCAGCTGGTAAAAGGCAACCGTGTGGATTTGGAGGGCTGCAGGATCCCCTTCCCCGCCAGGGCTCTTCTTTCAGATCTTTTCTGTCTCCTGCAAATTCAGTGGGACTAACTGAAGCCTCCCTGAAGGTTCGCATGCGGTGGTCGGGAGAGGACCGCTTTTGGTCCTTCGCTTCCGCTTCAGTGAGTTTCTGCCATTCCTTGCTAGCCCAGCAGCGCTTATCTCAGGCTGGCATCTGTGCTGCGCTCTGCGTCGCCGCTGAACGTGCAGGGCTACTGCTTGCCGTGATTTTGCTCCCGTGCTGCTGCTGAGATGCTGTGGCTGAGGGTGAGTCACCTGCCTTGGGCTGCTACGGCTACCTGTGAAGACGAGAGCTTGGATTTGGGCGTCTTGGATTTGGGTCCATAGTCCTTGAATGTTTTCCACTGGTTGGGCAAACTCGAGTCTAGGTTCTGCCCCCGCCTAAATCCAACGAGTGATACTTCGCCTATTGTCCTCTCTCCTCTGACGTACCGTATGTCCCTTGTAAATTGTAAATCCTGCCCAGGATCTCTCGGGCCCCAGAACAAGTCATGCAGATGCGTCGTCATTACAACTAAGTCAAATGTGAAGTGAGACTGTCTCAGTAAACTCATCCCGACGGCTTCATCCTGACCGCTGAGCCACCTGCCCTGTCTGATGGGAGAGGGCAGCCAACCCCTGGGAAGGCAGGTCCATCCTTGTAGCGGAGGTCCAAGCATGTCACCAGGGCAGAGCTGATGGTAGTTGGTGGCCGCTGGTGCTCGCGGGGCCCAGAGCCAAGGATGGCAAAGAGGCTTGGAGGCTCCCAGGTTCTGGGCCTGGAGAAAGGGAGAGGCTGGTTTAGAGCCCACCTGGACAAAGACATGGGCTGGGAAGAGCAGCAGAGCAGGCTGGCGAGGCTGCGAGGAGTCGCTGGGAGAGCAAGAGACCTTCATGTAAGAACAAAGCTACTGCCTCTTCCCTTTCGGACTTTTTTCCTGCAGGTGCCTTGGGTTGGGGAGGAAAGACGCTCCTCGCATCTCTTCCCTCCCTCCCTCCCTCCCGCTCTTCTTTCTGCATCAGAGACCTACTAAAATGCATTCAGAATGTGGTTTCACAGGGGTGGTGCTACCTGCTTTTCCTCTGGCCTGGGAACACAGTTGTGTTCCTGGACCGGAAGAGGGTGCGATGGCACAGGGTGGGGTTGCAGCATGAACCGGGCAGTGATGTGAAAGGTGTGGTGAGTGCGCGTGGCCACAAAGCACACCTTTTACGAATGACTTCCAACACCTCGTGAAAGGCAAAAGCCTCAGGACTGAAGGAAGTTTTGGGACAGCCTGGCTGGAGTGACTCCCTGCTGGGTTATTTTGGCACGAGCAATGGCAGCGGCTAACGGCATTGTTAGAATTAAAAGCAGTGCATGTTGGGGTTTGCCAGCCCCCCGGAATTGGCTTCCATTCCTTAAAGGCAGCGAGAAAGGAAGGGCCGGTTGATTTTCTTCTCTTCCAGTGTGCACAGCCAGAAAGAGTTGTCCCAGGGCTCTCGGACCATATTCTGTGGCGTTTTCTTCTCACGGAAGAAAAGCCAACTGCTGTCGCCACAGGCAGGGAAGAGGCTGGGCTGCCTCGTGGCAAGCGGCGGGAGCGCTGAGCTGCCTGGGCAAAGGGCTCTTCTGGCCGTGCATCTGAGCGTCTGCCCGCCTCCCGGGAGGTTCCTCCTGAGCCAGTGCCCAGGGCAGCTGGGCGCACGTCTGGGTTCCCTCTGGTTGGATGAAGCTGTTTTCTGTGGAGAAGCATGCCCCATGACATTTTCTTTCAATCCCCCAGATGACGGGCTGGCCTTCAAAGCTGAGGTCCTCCAAGCTCAGCGAGCGCTGTGTGAAAGCTTGGGGCTCAAGTGCACGGATGAATCGGTCCTCCACGGTCACCACCAAGGAGCCTCCGTCGGGAGTCGCTACTCCGCGTTTGTGCAGCAGCGAAGGCACTCTGAGGGTCCCGAGGAGGAGGCTGGAGAGGGAGGCTTTAGTGGTGGCGGTCCCGCCCTGGTGTGTCAGCGCGACCGCCCAGAGGATAAAATGTTTGCGTGCCCAGAATGCGGAAAAAGCTTCCGGCTTCAGAAGAGCCTCTTACTCCACCAGCAGAGCCACGCCACGGCCGGGGCCTTCCGGTCCCCTTGTGAAAAGAGCTTCACCTACAAGCAGCAGTTCACCCTGCACCAGCGCATCCACACTGGGGGAGGAGCTTACACCTCCGTGGCGTGCGAGGAGACCTTCAAGCAGAGCCACAATCTGAAGCCCCTTCCCCGGGCACAAGGAGGAGACAAGCCCTACGGCAGCACCAAGTGCGTGAAAACCTTCAACGTCAAGTCCTCCTATCGGCAGCACCCGAAGAGCCACGGGCGAGAGCGGCCCTACCGGTGCAGCAGGTGCCCGGAGAGCTTCTCCCAGAAGAAGGGCCTGGTGACGCACCAGCGGCTGCACTCCGGGCGGGGAGGCAGCTCCCTGGCCTGCCTCTACTGCGGCAAGAGCTTCAGCCACCCCTCGGACCTGGTCAGACACCAGCGCATCCACACCGGGGAGAGGCCCTACCGCTGCGGTGAGTGCGACAAAAGCTTCACCCAGAAGCAGCACCTCCTCCAGCACCAGAAGATCCACCTGCGGGAGCAGAACCGGCTGATGGGCACGGCCGTCCGGGAAGCCCTGCTGGACGCCATTTTCATCTAGTCTGGCCCTCCTGGGACACGAGGCGGCCTCAAGGAGATGCCCTCGGTGGCCTCCCTCCGCCCTGGGGTTGAGGCTCCTGGAGTCGTTGGCGCGTGGCAGCAGTGGGAGCCTTTTCCCAAGGGGTGTCTAGCGATGGCTCAGAATGGCTAAAGCTAACGAAGTGGGTAGTAACGAAGCACTTCCGGGATTGTCGTTTCGGTCTTGTTTGCAGTGTACAATACTGTAGGTGTATCTTCCCAGTGTTGTCCCCTAACCCCGCAGTCTTTTCACTTCAAAGTACTCAAGACAGGTGACTGTCCAGAGGTGACTTACCAGTTCACTGTTCAGTGAACTCAAATTGGTCTGAACAGAACACTTTTTTATATATATTTTCTGGATTTTTTTCTTCGTTGTTCTGTGGAAACTGAGAAATAAACTAGAGATGTGAAGAAATGGCTGTGTGGGCTGCCCTTCTTTTCCCTGTGGATCAGAGTTTGGGGCACTTGTGTTAACTTTTTAGTCACGTGTAGAACTGCCTGAGTGACCAGGAGCATCTTTTCTGACTCAGAGCGCTTTTCCAGAATAACTTAAGTGGTTTACCTGCAGAATGCTCTAAAAGGTTCTGATAGCTGTATTAAAAAAACAATTGAGAGGATTTAAGGAAAACTGTCTTTTTTGAAAAAAAAACCTTTCAGCACCTCAAATTAAGCCATAATGTGGCTTAGCCATAAACAAGCATCACTGTTCCTACTGGCGCTTTCTGCAGGCTGATGCCACATGCAAATGTGGGATGGTTCGGTCTTGATGGTTTAGGGTGTGGTACAAACCAGAAATTCTGGTTTGTTCCTCTCGGGGGAATCAGAGTCCTGGTTGCATCACCTGTTAAACAAGCCATAAGTACTTTCTTATCCATCAGGTATTTGAAGAGGCATTTCTTCCACAACACAATTCAAAAAATAACAGCCACCATTTTAATGCAGTGGCTGTATTTACTCAATATTAATCATGGTTAGCTGAATTAAGTCCATTGCCTGGATCTGCCCAACACCTTAAACCCCAACTTGTGAGCTACACGTTAGTTGTAGAGTGACTCCAGCCAATGAAGTCATTGCAAACTGAAATCTGTTAATGTGCAATTGTCATTTTATGTATCTTTTTATTTAAAATGCTTATATACCATTGGTTAGTTTTAAAAAGTCCAAAGCAGCAGTTTAAATGCCCATGTAAAATCCATCAAGACTGTTGGTAATTTGACTCTCCAGCTTCCCCCTGTGGTGTCAGTCCCAGGGGGCGCGAGACGGGCCATGCTGCTCTGGACCAACTGGGGCTCCGCGTGCCCCCCTCCGACCGGCACCAGGCCGATGTGCCCCTGGGTGCCCAGGCTGCAGGGGTTGGCTTCCTGCCTGTCTCAGTGGCTGGCAGGTGGATCTCCTTCCACTGGAAGGGCCTGGAGGTGAAATGTGGGGCCGTCTTGGTAGCAGGCATTCATAGCTTGTCTGCCATCCATTTATCTGTTCCTGTTTTGAAAGTGGCTTGCTGGCTGGAGCAACACAGGCTGGGTCTGTCATGGCCTCCCAGCTCTGGACCGCCATCCTCCAGCTGACCTGCGGCTGAGGGCGGCCTGCTTTGGGGTATTCGCTTTTGGGCCCTTGGTTTGGGACTTCACCGCCCCCGCCTGGCGGTGCCTCCCTGTTATTGCGTTAGGTTTATTGCTGTTCTTTGAATCTCGTGGTTAGGAGGCTGCTCTGAGAGTGTTAAGAGTCCTGGCCGGACCAGCAATATTCTCTTATCTCCATGAAGCGGATTCCACTGGCTATCTGTGTGAAGAAGTTCTGTCTGTCTGTCCTGGTCCCTCTCTCCTGCATTGTTTCTACCTCTGCGTAATTAGATGTACGACCCGAACTCCCATTGTTCTAAACGTGGCCTTGCTCTTGTTTCATGCAAAATGCTATGAAATGGGGCCCCTTGTTGTCACTCCCCTCCCCAGGGTTGCCAGCGTGATTTTTCTTTCCACGTGTGACCCACGTGTATTTCAAAGAGCCCTGGAAACCCGGCTCTTCGCCCAGGCTTTGGCGAGGACGGCTGGCGCTCCTTTTCTTCCTCCCCCTTGTTCTATCAGGGTTTGTTCCTTCACCACCTTTTTCCTTGGGTTGTTTTTTTTTTTTTGGTATTGTTTTGAAATGTTTTTAACGATTTGGAAACTGCCCAGAGTTGCTGGGAGGCGGGCAGCATATACATTTAATAAATTATTATGATTGTTATTATTACTGTCACCAAACTATCCGTCATAGTCTGAGAATTCCTTCACCTGTCCCTATACACCATCATCCATGAAGTTCTAGCATTAGCCTCAAGAAGATCCTTGTAAAGTTAGGATGTTTTTTAAGCTGCGTTGCCTTTTGCTGTAGACTTGCTTGAAACGATCTGCACTCATAGTTGCGATATCCATTTCCTATATAGGAGAGAGCCTTTTTGCTAAGGCTGCCCCAGAATCATTTGCTCAAAATCTTTTCACGTGGAATGTTGGGACACTTGACCTCAACTCCGTTCCTCACTCCAGTCAGTGAAAGGTTTGCTATTCTACTCTAGAGTTGGCTTTTTTTGGAGGCCCTGGACTTCAGATCTCAGCAAAGGGTTACCTGTGACCCACAGCAGCATTTCTCAACCTCAGCCACTTTTAAGTTGTGTGGACTCCCACTCCCAGAATTCCCCAGCTGGCATGCTAGTAATTCTGGGAGTTGGAGTCCACACATTTCAAAGTTGCTGAGGTTGAGAAACACTGATCTACAGTACCTGTTAGACAGAGAGGGCGTTTTCTTAAGGACGTGGTAGGGTTCGGGGTGTGCTGTGCTTTCCTCTCTGTGGTGGGAACAAGGCATGATGAATATTGGGTTCATGTTGTCTTTATTTCCCACAGCCCTCTCAACAAGCCACGGCTTAATCAAAAGCGAGCCAGAGAACGACCCTGCAGCCCTTGAGACATGGATGATGCCAGGAGAAACATCCAGGGAGAGCGCTTTAAAGAAAGAAGAGGCCCTTGATTCCAGTGGGTGGCCCGCTCTGGGGGAGCCCAGAGGGTTCAGCTCCAACGAGGGCAGTGTGGCAGAGGAAGGGGCTGCTGATGCCTGCCGGGAGCGCGCAAAGAGTGTGGGGAGCCGGGTTGGCCACCACGAGCGCCCACAAAGTTACAGCGGCCTCACCCCTCCGAGGCGCAACCTGCCCTCACCCCTGGCGAACGGCAGCCCCCTTGTGCGCCCGCTCGGGGGCCACCGGGAGCAGGAGACGGGGGTGCCCTCGGCCGGCCAAGCGGGAGAGGAGGAGGCCTGGGCTTGTCCCCTCTGCCAGCAGCGCTTCCGGCTCCACGTCCACCTGCTGGTTCACCAGAGCAGCCACCGGGCGGCCACCGCTGAGCCCAGCCACAAGGACCCGCTGGGCTGCCCCTTCTGCCCTCGGCGGTTTGGCCGCTCGGACCACCTGCTGCGCCACCAGATGAGCCACACGGGCGCCCGGCCCCACCAGTGCCCGGCCTGCGAGAAGAGCTTCACGGACAAAAGCAAGCTGACGAACCACTTCCGCACCCACACGGGAGAGCGCCCCTTCTGCTGCACGGCCTGCGGCAAGCACTTCGTCCGGCGGCACCACCTGGCCAAGCACCAGCGCACCCACACGCGCGAGAGGCCCCACCAGTGCCCCCTCTGCCCGAAGAGCTTCATGCAGAAGCACCACCTCCAGAAGCACCTCCGCACCCACACGGGGGAGAAGCCCTACAAGTGCGGCCTGTGTCCCAAGGCCTTCTCGTCCAAGCAGCGCCTTCTGCAGCACAGCTGCGCCCTGCCTCCGGGGCCCTCTGCCGACGCTGCCGGCCGGGCCTCGGCGCCTCTGTAAGCCGGCCCTACAGGGACCCCACCCCCCCCCCCCCCGTCCCCCT